GGCCTCGCTCGGGTTTTCAGTAGGAGCTGACGGAAGTTGTTGCTTCAGGGTGGCCCGGAGTGGGGGAGGGGCGGCTGTTGTCTCACTTTGCTGAGGAGAAAACATGATTTATTGTGGTGAGGGGGATGCAGCGCTCACCCCAGGGGCTGCGTTGTGCGTGATTTTACCTCTTTCACGAGCCCCATAAAGGTCATTTTTATCATCGCTGTAGACAATGGCAAAGGGGCACAGAAAACTTAGGAGAAATATATCTAACAAATGTTTTCCTTTCCTTTTTTTGCAGTGGTTCTCAGGATTTTGAAGCACCTGTGCTTTTAAGTGCAGGCAAACCCTTGTTCCCTTGCCTTTCACCTTCCTCGTTTCTGAGGCAATGCCCAAAGTGAAGAGGAGCAGGAAGCCTCCCCCGGATGGCTGGGAGCTGATTGAGCCAACGCTGGATGAGCTGGATCAGAAGATGAGAGAAGGTAAGCGGCAGAGCTGGCTGTTCTCAGAGAAGTGACCCTGAAACAAGCTAATCCTTAACTGCTTCATGAAGTACAGTTTCTGCTGTGAATATAGGCTGAAGTTTTTTATATCTCTGCCTTGCAGTGATACTGCAGACTGAGCCTGGGCCAGTACTGGTCACTTTTTTCTGAGTGTATGCTGGTTACAGAGCACAGAGGTTTGGTGTACAGTTGTTTTAGGGCATGCTATGGCCGAGCCCCAGCTGAAGCTCGCTGGTGTGTGTGGAGGGACTGGTAATTCTCATCTGTGCCTTTGCCCTGGTCTGACGAGCTAGGGCAGCCGTGAAGTCACCTACCATCCCAGCGTGGGTCACGTCATCCCCACTGTCAGTCTGTTTTTATTTCCTAAAGGACCTGTTCCAGGTCAGGTCCCTTTTGTTTGAATCTTCTCCCATTAAGCTCGGTCTTATCTCTGTAATGTATTAAAGTTATGAATGTCCTTGGAACAGTTTATTGCAAAGTGACTAAGGAAATAAGCTGGCTGCCTGAATCAGCCAGCTGAAACTTGGTATTTGTGTTCCCTCCCAGCGGAGACTGAGCCTCATGAAGGGAAGAGGAAAGTGGAATCCCTCTGGCCTATCTTCAGAATTCATCACCAGAAAACACGCTACATCTTTGATCTCTTCTATAAACGAAAAGCTATCAGCAGAGGTGAGGAATGTAAATGCTTTACTCTGGGCAGGGGAAGACAGAAGGGAGTAAGAGGTCTGCCTGCGGATGTGCCTGAACTGGGGCGTTGGTGGGAAGGATCAGGTTTCTGGGGAGAGAAGATGGAGGGAAGGCTGGCAGCTGCCTGGCTTTAACTGCTAGTTACCACAGCTAGTAATTCCTGATGGTGTCTTCTAACACTTCCTGAGAGCTACTTGTGATGCTGTCTGCCCCTCTAACAGAGCTCTATGAATACTGCATCAAGGAAGGATATGCTGACAAAAACCTGATTGCAAAGTGGAAGAAACAGGGTTACGAGAACCTCTGCTGCCTGCGATGTATCCAGACGCGGGACACCAACTTTGGAACCAATTGCATCTGCAGGGTCCCCAAAAGCAAGCTGGAAGTGGTAAGAGTTTTCAGCTTGTTCCTCTACTTGTCCAGACCCTTGCAGTAGCCGGTCTAACTCCTCCCAGGTCAGAGACAGCAGAGGAAGTAGTGCTGTTCTTTTCGGTAATTTCCTCTAGTTCTAACATTTCCTATCTTTGCTGGTAGAGTTGGTATCTACTTGGTTCTAAAGTCAGTCAGCTTTGGCATGCAATCGTTTAAAGTCATTATAGCATGGGAAGTAACACAAAACTAGACAGTAGAAACCCTTCCCGTGCAGACCCATTCTCTGCCTTGAGGCTCGAGCCTGCTGGTCTCTCTGCTCACGTAGCTTGGCTGAAATACCCTCCTCATGTTTCTTTTCCAGGGGAGAATCATTGAATGCACTCACTGTGGATGCAGAGGCTGTTCTGGGTGAAGCCTTTAGCCATAAGACTACTTTTTAAACTCTCAGTGATATCATCCTACACAATGGACTATTAGTGCAGTTACAGCCACCTTCCGTGTGATTGGATATTTCTGTATAGTAATTAAACCAGCAACATATTCATCTGGATCATATATACAACGGTGGTTGTTTTGGAATATGTTTTTGTGTAGCCATTTATTTTAAAATAAAGTCTGCCCTCCTGAGGGAGTGGTGTGATCTTCTGGCAAAACATTTCTATGCCCCTCTTCTCCTGTTGGATGTGTTTTGGTTTGTTTGTTTTCTCTACTATTGTGAGGTGTTCTAAATGTTGTTGGTTTTTAACCAGCTCTTATCCCGCTTTCTCAGCTAACTGAATTCAAAAGGCTGTGTGGAAAGGAAATAATACAAGTTCTCAAATGTCCACTCTGATTCAAGCTCTCCCCTGATCTTGTGTAGAAGGAAGCTAAATTTCACTGGAAGTCTCTAAGGTTTGTAACCAGGAATTAGTGCATAGACCCATTCAGGAATGGAGTCTATGGAGATTTACAGGTCACGCATTAAGTGCCCAGATACACACAGAACACAGGAAAGAGCCAAAACTAGCACCGAGCTAAACTGCTGTTAAATCTCATTTTGCTTCTTCCTTGTTTAGCATAGGGTTTGTTAAACTACAGGTTATTTAATTCTCTGCAGTTTAAAGAAATTCACTGAAACTGTATTTGCTTCTCCTTAAAAAAAAGGACAAATATTTTATTATGTAGTTACCACAAGAACTGGGGTTCATGGAAACACAAAGCAGCTTTACTACAAGGCAGTTTAAAGGGGCAAGTTCCAAGTTCTTCCAGCACAAGGAAGATGCAGGATTTCAGCATCCCGCTCACTGCTACCTCTGCCCTGGCTCCTCCTGCACAGCCTCTTCCTTCTCGTCATCCACTGCACGTTTCACTGTTCTGTATTTTTCCCAGGGGTGGGGCGTCTCCTCTCCTGCCATTACTTTTAACCACCGATAGTAGTAGCCACGGAAGCCATCAATTTTCTCCAGGTATCGGTTCTTTGACTTATACTGCAAACAGAAATCCAACAAAACAAGTTTCTATTAGAAGAGATCTCACTTCAATACCAGCATGCAATAGCTACAAGCTGCTGTAAAGAAACAGCTCAAGTAACTGTCAGCCAGATCAGGCAAACTGAAAGGAAATGACTTAGGCAGATGTCTACATTTCCCCTTCCTTGTTGGTGTCCTTTGCAATGCCTTCACGCTCTGACCAGTCGTGACTACTTACCCTGTCAAATTTCGGAGGGTACTGTGCTGCGAACTCCAGCTGGCGTATGATAACTTCATTGGGAGGCACTTGGTTATTCCTCATGTCTCGCAGAATCTCTGTGAGGTAACTGTAATCCAGCTGCCTCACAGCGGCAGCAATGAGGGTGCTGTAGATGTATTTGTTGGGAGTTACTCCAGACCTCTGGAAACAACAAATGCTACAGTTAGACCTGTTTATCTGCTGACTAGTGCAGGAATCCTAGAAGGAAAAGGCACAAAGGCGCTTCTTACAGAAGGAGCACAGCTGTCACGCCGGGAGTCATGCAACAGCTTCTGCAGTGCCAGTACCATCCCTTCCTGCGAGCCCTCTCCTATCCCAGTGCAGGTATCGGACAGACCACCTGGTAGCTGGCAGCTATTCTACAGCTGCGTGTTTTTGGAGTGAGAACACAGGCACTCACCACAGAAACCTCAGCAGGTCTTTTCAGAAGCTTTAACTTTGCCTCTTCCTGCAGCTCTAACTCCGAGCAGCAGAGGTTTTTTTGATTACCTTCAAATCTGAGAGTAACTGCAGTCCATCCTTCCCTCGGTGGCAAGCAATTGCCAAGTTGCAAAAGGTCTGGAGGTTAGGCGACAGTCCCCGCTTCACTAGAGCTGGCAGCATGTTCTGCAAGATACAAGTGTTGACATCAGTTTCCAAAAAGTCTCACTGTAGCTTTCCAGACAGAGTGCTGAATGTGCTAGAACAGAATCCATAAATACTTAGAAATTAACGCAAGCACTGGTTTGTGGAAAACAGTGCGAGATCCCCAGTTTCTATTGTGGACAGAGAAACAGGTCTCAGAAGACACAGCTAACACGAGATGCCTGAGACAAGGAGGTGGTGACAGGGCTAGTTCCAAGTTTTTTCTCACCTTCGCTCCTTCCAGGTCTCCCTGTTTACTTTTCTTCCTTATTAAAGTGTTAAAGAAGGTCACATCTACTTTCACTTTATGCTCATCTAGGAATGCCAGCAAAGAGGACTCCGAGGGGCTTTGGGGTTCCACCAGCTCAGCCAGCAATGTAAATGTTTTAATGTTGGGTTCTGCATTGTCCTCTTTCATTTTATTCAAGAAGCCTTCCACGTCCCCCATCAAACCCAGTCTATCCGACCGCGTGGCCGCTGTCCCCAGAGAAACGACGGCTGCATCAGGCATCCTGGAATCCAGCAAGTTGGGCAGGTTGCAGAAACGCAGCTTTTGGCTTAGGTGTGCTTGTTCCTGTTCCATCTCATTCTGGCCTCTCCTCATCAATGCTCCAGTCCTGCTGGGAGCTACGCTGGGGCTGTCGGGAGCAGCTCGTTGTGTTTCAGCCCGATTCACATCTTTATTTTGTTGCCGGATCAGTTCTTCAGGCTGCACCAAACTCTCCTGAAACAACTGCTTTTCCATAGCTTCCACATCCAGCTGGACAGCAGCTGCACTCTCTGATAGCTTCTTCCTCTGATTTTTCACCTTCTGCCTCCCAGGTCCAAGCCTTAGTTGAGATGAATTCTCATCTGTGGGTTTGAGCAGGAGTTCAGAAGCCACGACTGGATCGCCTATTCCACAGTCCCTCGCAGCACGCAGCATCAAATTGTAAATGTGACTGTCGGCCTTTATTCCAAGTTCAGTCATTTGCTTCCAAACCTGAAGAGGGGAAGATGAACACTAGATGTGGGTGATATTAAATAACAGGCGTGTTTCTAGCAGATTGTAAACGTATCTATTACCAGTATCTGCTTGCAGAAAAGGAGCGAGGTGAGATGCCACTGGACAGTGAACAGCTACCTTGAGCTAGTACAATCCTGTGAGATCATCCAGGGCGGTTTACCAGTGTACGAGACATCCTGATGGAAGTCTAGTTTATACAGCTTGTACCAGGAGGAGCTGAACTCCTCCTATTTCATCAGCTCTGAGCAACCTGCTGCCTTCCATGCATTCCAAATGATGAGTTACAATACAGAAGCACTTCTTTCTACCCACTTAGAACATGAAGACAAACCTGTAAGGCGTATCGGAAGCCGTTTTCGCTGTCCTTTATGCAGCTCATGAGAAGGAAGCTGAAGGTCTCAGCTGTGAGAACGTGGCCCTTGCGCACAATTTCCTAAAAGCACAGAGAGAGGATTAAACTTCCCAGTTACCCAAACAGTCTGTCGTAGCTGGCTGTGAAGCTCAAATACCGCTATTGTCTTCTGGGGATATAGCAGCAACAAGGCACAGGGTGAACTCCCAGGGCTGTGCGCAGAATGATCGCTCCAGGACAAAGAGAGCCCTGAAATGCCTGCACAGATCCTAGCTTCTCCCTGATGGGAACTACAGGGAATTTGGGGGCAGGAACAGCAATCCTTGTAGCTATTCCCATACTGGCCCTTCTGAGGAGGGCTGCTGTAAGAGCTCTGCAAGGAGCTAGGTATGAATATACAGGTCTTCAAAACGAGGAATGGAGACAGACACAGTAGCTGTAAACTCCACAGAAACTTTGACACACTTGACGAGTTTTAAGCCAACCTCTGCTGCTGCCTCCTTTTGTGTACTTAAGCTTAATGTCTGGTATGTACCAAGACAATTTCATTGTACGAGATCAAGGATCAGTGAAATACAAACATGTGAACTGTAATTACCTCTGCTGGAAATGAAATGAAAAAGTCTATGCAATATGGCAACTTCCAGGAGCTTTAACCACAGCAGACTATATTTAATGCGATAAAAGTCATCTGTTTACCTTCAGTACATCAAAGCACATCCTCAGATCTGAGCACAAAGCGCAGACCTTCAGCAGCGCATGGTAGGTGATCAGGTTCAGCTCTTCATTTTTGCTCTTTAGCTGCTGCCGTAATTTGAGAGCGCTCTGCAGGCCTGAGTCTTTCCACGGCGATTCGGCACAGGCATTGAACAAGGCTGTGTAAGTGGCCTCGGTGGGAGTCAAGCCTCGTTTTTTCATCTAAGGGAAGAGAAGCAGAATTTGAACTGGCTTTTTAGGAAAGGACTTTCAGAATTTCTTAACTTGTCTTTAAGAGTTTCAGGCTAAGAAGGTGCCAACACCAACTCAAAGGCATTTTGGAGACAAAGTAACATGACCAAATGCTTGAAACAGTTTTAACTTAGAAAACATAATGAAGGTTTGAGAGAGGAGAGAACATAAACCTACATCATTGTAGAGCCTGAATGCCTTTTTCACATAGCCAACCCTGCCACAGCCGCCAATTAGAACAGTGTAATTGCTTTCT